TTCCTTTCATTTTCTTTTCCTTCTCCTTTGTAATACAAACAAACACATACGCTCACACACACACATACCCACACAAACAATTCTCCGAAACATAAAAGAAATGGTCAATCAAAACTTGAAGTAGGTTATCAAAACTTAAGAATCATAAGTTTAAAATTCTTTAATAAAGAATAAACAAAAACTGAAAATGTAAACTCATACAATGTATATACCGACCCTTCTTCTAACGAGGCAAATTCCACACAATCTACCGTTTTCACCAAATAATATGATATATAGAGTGGTGAAGTGTGACGTCATCAAAATTCTATTTTTAGAATTTCTCACTTTTTTCTTCATTTTCCGAAATAGCATCAAAAGTAATGTCCAAATCTCGAAAAACATTTTAATATGTTAAGTATTGGCTGAGATATAACCATCTGAATAGATATATGTCCAATGGTAACTCGGTGTTATATGCTCTGGCTCCTAATGGTTAGGAGCCAGAGCAAATAACACGTGAGTTCCTATGGGAAATCTTTTTATTCAGATGGTTATATCTCGGCCAATACTTAACATATTATATTGGTTTCGGAAAATGAAGAAAAAATTGAGAAATTTTAAAATTGATTTTTATGACGTCAAAGCTTCGGTACTCTATAGACACTCAACTTTTGTCTGGAATATGCAAATTGATAGCAAGTTCATTGACCTTTGAACATTGATGTAAGTTCCTTCACCAAAATGTTCCACAGCCTAATATTACTCTTTAACACCAAATAACATCACCAATAGACTCCCAGATGAAGTTATACCTGAAAATGCAACATTATAGTCAACTAGGGGTATAACTTTATACATGATTATGTGCACATGTTTTTTAATTCTTTATGTATTATTATGCAGTTAATTTTTTATTCTTTTGTTTGAGGCTGTTCTTTATTCAGGGCCCCATGGAAGACCACTACTTATTGGTGAATGGGCTTCCCTGACAAAAGATTAGAAAAAATAAAGAAAGACCAGACTCGTACAGAGTGTCAGAGTGCATTTTCCTCCTCCTGTTCAATGAGTGCACTTTGACCAAAAACCGGCCAAAAGATACCCTTGGAAAGACCCTTCCCATCCCCCAGCTAGGCCATTGTAGATTATTAAACACACCTTTGATCTTAAACTTTGGTTACTTAAAAAAATGCCAAAGTGCCTATTGCTAACATTCTCATCAAACATCGCTGATGGAAACTCCTAGCTGAAGTTAAACCTGGAATATTCAAAATTAAGCACAGTTTGTTGACCCTTGACCTTTGACATATTGAAATTCACAGAAATGTTCAAGTGCCTATCAATTACTTCTCTATCCACAGCACTATTGGCCACTCCTAACTGAAGGTATAAGACCTTGACAAAAACCTCAAAGTTTGTAACTGTTGAAAATACAACTTGATATCAATGGAAAACTGAATGAATTTAGAATACAAATATAAAGGAATAACAAGTATTTACCCTTTAATCATTGCACAAAAGCAAATTAAAACCCCTCCAAATTACAGGTCAACAGGGGTCAAATTTGCCGAAGTTACAGTGACGACATAACATGGGTACCCCATCACTTCACCTATATAGCTGAGGCGATGAGCCGTGCTTAATTAATGCAAAGTCGTTTTGAATATGCATACTCCACATAAGATGATGTCATCAAGTCTACAATTAACTAACGATTTTCAAAGCTTTAGATTTTGAGTTTTCATAAAGCTGATACTCCTCTGGCAGACACTAAAATGGCATATAATTATATATATAATTATATTATTGTTATCTTTGGCTTATAAGCTTTCCGTTGATATATAATTCATCCATTTCATCTTTCAGTTTGGATATGGTCTTAAAGCTTCATGTACACTACATGTGTTACATATATCATAATAATATACTTTTGTTCTTTTATATTGCCATTTCAATGCGCTTTACAATATAATATACATATATACAAAATATAACAAGATCAAAAAAGGAAAATGAGTAAACAGAAGCATATATAGAAAACATAAAATCATGATTATCAGACAATAGAGCTAATACAGGTACCATATGTGACAGATGATATTCTCATCATTTATACCAGGTTTCAAGACAAATGGTCAAGTAAAAATTGAATTACAGTTATCTAATCTTGACCGCCAAAACCCTTAACCTGCAAAAATGCCTTTAAAATGATAAACAGTTAAGCTGCAGACCACTGGAATGACCACAGGTGCCTTTCATGTATGCAAAAGATGACCTATTCAAGATTCTTGCTAAGTTTGGTTGCAATCGGTCAAACAGATCTGAAGATAATGTGCTGTGATTTCAATATCACTTTATTAACAATCATGATTATTAACAAATGAAGTAATAGTACATACACTTGTTTAAATACTACCCACAAAATAAAACCAAAGTAAAAAAAAAGTGGAAAAGAGAAGACAAAAAATCCAAGGCCTTTAAAAAAATTAATTAAATTGTAATAATATAGTTGGGAGAATTAAGGAATCGATCAGATCAGTTTGTCTCAAAGTTTTTCGTTATTAATGGTCTGATTTCACTCAAACTTTCAAATTATCTTTAATTGTACATCTAGCATTGAAGTCAGCTACCTTAGTACCATTTTACCACATCTTTACAATGTTACCAAGTCCCTTTAATAAGTGATACACACTGAACAAAAATATTAACGGACATGTTGGGGTCACAAGGGCGTTAACTCCATGTCAAAGTAATATGGATCAATGCCATTGTGGCTCTAAACAGATGATGAAACATAAAAGGGTAGTAAATATACACAAATTAGAAACAATATATGTGACTGATGCGTAAGTAACAACAAAGAGATAACAAACTAATCTTATCTGAACTCTACATTCATACAGAAGCTATTGAATAAGTATGAATGATGAATTAAGCATAATAAAGAAACAGGAACAAAAGGAAAGATAGGAAGCAGAAGGAGAAGAAAAGAAGAGAGGAAGAAGAAGGAAAAGGAGAGACGAGCATTGGGAGGAAAAAGAATAAGAAAAAGAGAAGAGAAAGAGAAGAAGAAAAGAGAAAGAGTAGAAGAAAAGAGAAAGAGTGGAAGAAAAGAGAAAGAGTAAAAGAAAAGAGAAAGAGTGGAAGAAAAGAGAAAGAGAAGAAGAAAAGAGAAAGAGAAGAAGAAAAGAGAAAGAGTGGAAGAAAAGAGAAAGAGTAGAAGAAAAGAAAAAGAGTGGAAGAAAAGAGAAAGAGTAGAAGAAAAGAGAAAGAGTGGAAGAAAAGAGAAAGAGTGGAAGAAAAGAGAAAGAGTAGAAGAAAAGAGAAAGAGTGGAAGAAAAGAGAAAGAGTGGAAGAAAAGAGAAAGAGAAGAAGAAAAGAGAAAGAGTGGAAGAAAAGAGAAAGAGTAGAAGAAAAGAGAAAGAGTGGAAGAAAAGAGAAAGAGTGGAAGAAAAGAGAAAGAGTGGAAGAAAAGAGAAAGAGTGGAAGAAAAGAGAAAGAGTGGAAGAAAAGAGAAAGAGAAGAAGAAAAGAGAAAGAGTGGAAGAAAAGAGAAAGAGTGGAAGAAAAGAGAAAGAGTGGAAGAAAAGAGAAAGAGTAGAAGAAAAGAGAAAGAGTGGAAGAAAAGAGAAAGAGTGGAAGAAAAGAAAAAGAGTGGAAGAAAAGAGAAAGAGTGGAAGAAAAGAGAAAGAGTGGAAGAAAAGAGAAAGAGTGGAAGAAAAGAGAAAGAGTGGAAGAAAAGAGAAAGAGTAGAAGAAAAGAGAAAGAGTAGAAGAAAAGAGAAAGAGTGGAAGAAAAGAGAAAGAGTGGAAGAAAAGAGAAAGAGTGGAAGAAAAGAGAAAGAGTAGAAGAAAAGAGAAAGAGTGGAAGAAAAGAGAAAGAGTGGAAGAAAAGAGAAAGAGAGAGAAGGATAAAAAGAGAAGTAAAAATGAAATAAATGGAGGAGAAGAAATTGACCTTAGAAGAACTTAAAATTTGTAAATATCATTGTTTTGACTTTTTTGTGCGGCTAGAAGTCTTGCCTAGCTTTATCATCTATTCTATAGTGACACCTGTAACTTTATTAGTGTGTCACACATACTACTGTCAAACACATTTAAACCATATTGTATTGGGATGTGGAGTTATTCTGGCAAGCACATTCCACACCTTATGTGTTGGGATTTGCAAACATCAAAGGTAACTGGTATAGCATATACATGCCTATTAAACTTGCTTTTAATTGCCCCAACTATTTTCATCACTCCTCCTAAGCTGTTCTTATAGAGCACACGTTTTTTAGAGAGAGTCTTTATCAAGGCTAATTCAGCTTCATCGTAAGTAACGTCTTACTTCTTCGCTCGATTTTCTACTCGTTTCTATTAAAAAGGCATTATTACTTTATTGCAGTATAAGTTTCGTCTCCCTTACTTAATTCATCCGCAAACTAGATGGGCCTTCGACTGCGCGCGTAGTCGAAAATGATGCCTCCGCCATTGGGCGATTATACCAACCAAAACAGAAGCAATTTTTAAAATTCAACTTCGATTGTAAACCATTAACAGGTTCTCAGAATATCGTGACTACAAGCTTTTTTTCATATACATGTATGACCCTTTGATCTTTGACCTCATGACCCTAAAATCTAATCAGTTCATTGGCTCTGCAAGATACATACATGACCAAAGTTTGGCAGGAACCCATCAGTCGGTTCTTCAGATAACGCGATCACGAGAACGGGACGTACGTACGTATGTACGGACGGACAACCCGAAAACATAATGCCTCCGGCTACTTCGTAACGGAGGCATAAAAAGCGACATTGCTTTGTATATATAGTCCACATGTTCTTTCTACGGGAACTGTGCAATATTGAACAACTACCGTACCTATAATTCACCTTGTAAATATAGTGGCTCACCAATTCTGGTACCGGTTGCAACAGGTGTTGCTACAAGACAAGGTAGAAAAGAAACCACTTTCTATTTCCTTTATTTTAGGTGAATAATTCCCTAAAAACAGAAGAGGTTGAGGAAAGAAGATCTATTTCTTTAGTGAACTCCTCCACTCTTCAAGACTCTGTCCTGAGGCGGGGCAGTACCACTTACCCTTATATTGGGTGTGGCCAGTATCTTTGGTTTTAGGCTCTTGGCACTGAGAACAGGTATACCATTCTTTACGTTTGGAATATCTTTTTTTTGGTGCCTCACCCCTCGCCACTCTCTCCTCATCCTCCTTGAGAGCCTTCTCTCTCCTCCAACTTCTCTGCCGGGATTGTGGCATCTGGCTTGATGGGGAAGGAGCTTCCTGTTCCTCCTGAAGATGGGGAGAAGAAACAGGCCATGGCTGAGGTCCGTACCAGCTGAACTGACCAGGCTGCATACCTGGCCAGGCACCTGTAGTTGGGCGGGAGGGGATTGGTGGGAAAGGAGGGGGCATCATGGTCGGAGGAAAGGGCATGGTTGAAGATGAGGAAGAGGGTGTATCCTCCATTCCTGTTCGCCGCTTCTTTTTTCTTTGTCGTACTGCAGTTTGGCCTTCCCTGTTTGGGGGTTCATCAAACTCCATCGGGGCTTCATGTCTCAATGGCTCGCTGGGTCGCTGCCGTGGAAGGGGTAGTGGGTCCACTGCCAGGGAAACAGTGTCTGGCAGGGTGACACCCTGCAGCAGCATTGAAGTTTGTGTCTTTTCCTGGCGCTTCTTCAGCCTAAAAAATAAACAGAATGCACAAATTCAATTATTAACATATTGTAAAACAGAAGGGTTGCTTGTAGATTTTTTTTTTTTTTTCTTCTTCAAATCATCTAATAAAAATAAAATTATTGACATATTCAATTATAGTCATCATGCACAGGTTCTATGAAAGTTTCCAAATCGTGATTTAGCAGTCATAAATCTGGTCAACTGTAATGTGTCTACTCCACTCAAATTCTGTTTTGATGAGCCTTGTCAGGAAATAGGTATTTACATACACCTCTCTTTGTCTCCCAACTTTCACTTCACTTTTACTTCAAACGAAATATATTACAAGTAATATTCTTAGAAAATAAATAAATATTTTATTTTATATCATATCTATCCTTCAAGTGGATCCATCATTCAGTTTTCATCTACAATTTCACTTTTACATTTTTTTCTTCCCCAATGCAAATCACATAGACAAAGAAAATTGATAGTGATCCTGTCCTCCAGTTGAGATGAGTCTGGATAGCTTTCAAATGCAATTCATGTGGTTCGTATTTATTTGCCTAGCTTTGTACAAGTTTACCCTCATAGATATGCATATTGTAATGTTGGATTTTAAAATATGATACTATAAAAAAAGCCACATAGAGGTGGAAAAGCAAGTAAGCATTTATGGAACATAGTTCACTTGACTGCATATGTAGTACAATTCACCTCTCGCTTTGCCCTTTTTTTCTCGCTCTATAATCAAGGCATTCACATTGCCAATTTTTCTCTATATGGGTAGGGCATATTTAGTTTCTTATAATCTTATAATTCTATTATCATTAAGAAATGTGTATTGCTCACCAGTTGCTGACCGTGGTGTTGTTCAGTGTGACCAGCACCAGGTCCGTACGTAGAAGCTCCTGTGGGCCGTCTTCCACCAGCTGCTTGATATGTGTGTAAGAATGGACAATGGCCTGGGGGATAGGGAGGGTCTTTCCTAAGATGTCCTTTGGCCGGTTTCTCGTCAGAGTGTACTCCTTAAACAGGCGCAGGCAAATACACTCGGACACTCTGTTTGAGTCAGGCCTCTCAGCTGCTACTCCCCCTGACAAGTACAACCTGAAAAAATAATCAGAAATTAAATGCATAATTATAGATAAAGAACTAAAGCAAATGTGCACTAATCAATCATGTATAAAGATAGACCCCTATTTGCATCCAATGAAAGTCTATACAGATTAAGCTTACAATTGATCCCTACCCGGCCTAACCCTCTCAATTGAAAATGAAAGTTATAGACCCCACTAGGCTGAATGGAATAACCTAGAGATAAGATCAAATACTAGTACCTTTCAACACACTATAGACCATACTCCATTCTTCATCTTGATTGTGCTATACAAACTATACCCTGGTGCTAGGGATGTAACATTGACATTATTAAGAACATACCAACAGAAATGGTTTCAAGTGATCCAGTAGTAGCTAATTTTCCAAAAAAAATTATATTTGAGAATTAAATCATAAACCAATATCATTTCAAGATACAATATGTGATAGTTTAATAGAAGAAAAAACAGTTTAATTCAATTCATCAGAACATCAAATATCAATTATAATCATTTACAACAATTAAGGAATACATAGGAAACAGAGGGGTCCACTAAAAAGCAATGCTTGTACAATTGTTAGTTACATAGTGAACAAATGGAAACTGCTGACAGATTTCATAACCTACTGCCCACTGAGCAAAAATATCTCCATAATTGATTTGAAAAATCTAAACCAATTTCATTCTTTGGTTACCACTAAACAACAAGGTTCAAGACAATTGTGAAAGGTCAAAGTGAGTTTGGTTGAATTGGACAAAATTAATGGATCACTTAGAGGAACAATCACTCATTCATTTATGTATCTAATAAATTGTGCTGTAATTTTTACCGCAATCTTCCCACTTCTGACTGAAACGCACTGGTACTATATAGCTATAAATAAAATATAAACTATAAACAGATTATACTTTATTAAACAAGGAGTATACTGGAGTACATATGCTTAAATCTATTTTTACAGGAGGAGGCCCCAAGTAGGTGGCATGAAGGAATAAATCACCCCCTCCTCCCACGAATATAAGAAACCAGCTTGACGATCTATGCCAAGAAGTCAAATGCTGACATACAGTAGTTGCTTACTGTTTCTGATATGTGCCTATTCCTGTCACTTCTATTCATACATTTCCTCTCGGGTATCACTTTATAATAGAAGTCACTAATAATGGAAATAATCAATGTCTTTGAGAGAATGCTCTTTCATCTGTTTGGACTCACCATTGGAGGCTGCAATGTTTTCCAACAGTATTGAATGTAACGTCACTTACAAAAGCAGGTTACATGACGTAGCAGAAGATTCAATGACAGGGGTTATACGTAACCTGTTCTTCTTTGTGCACATTCAGATGATGTTTCAGGTGGTTCATTGTGAAAACATGGCAGTCAAAAAAGATGATATAGGTATTAATAAAATGTATATTTTCATTATATGTGATACCCGAAGGAAAACTAGAAGTGACAGGAATTATGCACTTATCAGTATCAGTCGACAGAAATGCCAGTGTTCGGCTTCCTTTTACGAATTTAAAGAGTACTAAATCACCTTTCAGCAGCCTGCTGTCCAGGTACAGAACCACTCCGCTTCCGCGATGCTCTCCATGGCCCGAGAAGGGTCCGTTTCTTTGATTTCAAAGAATATTCCATGGGGGCCTTATCTGCATCATCCAGGAGGGTGTATAGCCTCTTTATCTCCTCGATCTCTGCTGCAGAAAGTGCCGTTATGGTTCTGTTCAGACCCACCAGATAGGCAGCCAGGTTGTCCACTGCCTCCCAGCCAGGTTGCCCTCTATTGTCATAGCGTGCATCCTTTGAAAATATATAATAGGACGGGGGATATATAACTTTGTCTTAAATATAGTCATACACCGCACAACTAATATCAATCAAAGTGAGCTAATAAGAAGTTATAGATATGCACCATTCTACATGCCTTGTGACAAAAGGGATATAATGGGTAAGCTAAACCTACAACATAACTCAAGAAAAATTCAATTAAGCATAGGGTTGTCGCGCGCCACGAAGCAATGTCTTATGTTAATTCAAACTGATCATTTGTTTCACTCACACAGAATTTTATATAAAATGAATTCTGTGGACTTATGAATCCAAATTATTATTCCCTGGTGTAGCTGGTTTGATGAGAATTGTTTACCAAATGATACAGGGATAAACAGGACATATAGGCATGGGCATAGACAGCCTAAAATAACAATACCTCTCACTCTTTTTAATACATAAAATATGTGTAAATGTAGGATGAACTAAAAAAAGGATAGGTATCAGTTCCTTACCTGTTTTGGCGAAGGCTGTGGGGAAGGATGTGGGGAAGACGGAGGTGGTGAAGGCGAGAGTGGCTCAGTTGAGGTGGCAAGACGGGCCAGTCTGGTTGGGGTGGAAAGACGGGCCGGTCTGGTTGGGGCGGAAAGACGGGCCGGTCTGGTTGGGGTGGAAAGACGGCTTTGTCTGGCTGAGGTGGAAAGACGGGATGGTCTGGCCGAGGTTGGGAAGTCCGACAGTGAAGGCGAAGGATGTGGGGAAGACTGCAGGGAAGACGGAGGTGGTGAAGGCGAGAGTGGCTCGGTTGAGGTGGCAAGACGGGCCAGCCTGGTTGAGGTGGAAAGACGGGCCGGTCTGGTTGGGGTGGCAAGACGGCTTTGTCTGGCTGAGGTGGCAAGTCGGGCTGGTTCGGTGGCGAGGGCTGGCTGGTTTGCCAGTAGAGACCTAGTTGTGACGATCGATGTTTCTTCCTGGTGCTGTGGAACCTGAATAGATATTTGCTGGATATTCATATTCACATCAAGGGCATCACAAACAGTAACATCCAAGATATCATCCATCTCGATATCTTCTGGCTGGATATCTGGCAGACTGGCCCCAATTTCAGTGCTAAGGATTGGAGCAAGCAGGTCCCCTCTTCCAGACTGGGCTAGCATGTATTCCACAGCGATTTTCTCATCTGCAAAATATCATTGCATGAACACAATTCATTAATAGTGATAGCATGATTTCTATTCGAAACAAGAAAATGTTTAAATACTCTATATGTTTGAGCAGTAATTCAAATACAGTTTTAGGAAAGTTGGTAAGGAATATAGAAGTCAAAGTGTTTCAACATTTCTCCTAAAATGGCTGCATCTAATCGTTTAAGCATTAGGTATGTGGATAAAGAACAACAATTAAATGAAAGTCCACTTTTATAATTGTTGCATTGAATACTAGAAGAATTCATATGCAAAAACCGATAAAAAATCATTTCCTAAATTTTTAAGATAAAGGTAGCTTCGTATAACAGCAAACATGTCTTTTAAATGATTTTCATTGCATTTTAAGAAATTTTTTGAAGACATGATTAAAAGTATTGCACAGTTTCTTACTATTGCCATTGTTTTCCAGCCAATTTACAATTCCCTTGAATTGGTGAAATTGGTTTTATAGATTTTTACATATGAACTCTTCACTTTTGAAAATTGAAATGTATTCTCCTAGCAAATTAACAGGCAATATATTGGGCACCCTTACTAAGTTTTTTTGACTTATTCTTAAAGAATTCACTTTGGAACTTTCCTACAACATAAAATCAGTTATAACTCATTCAGGACTGGTCCCGAAAAGCACTTGGGCTAGGGTTATAAGGAGAATACATGTTATGGCAAAATCAATTAGTCCTGAAAACCAACTATGCAATGTACAGCCCTCAACTGATTTCTGGAGATAACTGCTACAAAATGAGCCCTGTGACCTTTGACCTCATGACCCCCTAAATCTGATAAGTTTATTGGCTCCTTAAAAAAATGTTTGATGCATTGTAATCTGTCAATGGGCCCTTGAGATAAAGTAATCCCAAGTTCGGGAGGAACGGATAAGTACAACACCCCACAGATAATGCTTCCTTCCTCTCTGTTGCAGATGCATGAACAAGTATTAAAGTTCAAACAGATGAAATAGTAACTGCTTATTATAAAAACATATGGATATTTCCTACAACTTTTAAGTCAAATATTTCCAACAAAAAACATTATGGAGTTGATCTTACTAGTAGGTTTTCTTGGTGCCTTGAACTGGGGAAGAATCTCATAGCCGAGGATCCTCTGGCTCATGCTGTTGATGTTGCTCATCAAGTGCACATCATACAGCCTAGTCCTTCGTCCAACACCCAAGTCCACAGCTTCTCGGGCTCTGTCGATGTCCCATCGTGACCCACCCTCCAACATGTACATCTGCGTATGCACAGCGTTGCACCTCCAACCTTGAAAAGAAAAAGACTGGTAGTTATTTTGTATACCAACCACTTACCTAAGGTATTTATTTAAAGGATTTATGATTAATGCGTGGCAATGAAAATATAAAAAACAAACTGTATAGAGTATGGGTATGCATGTCTCTGGATGTCAGGACGTTCTAAGATGGTGCTACAAGGATGGATAGAAAGCAAGCAGAAACAGATTGAATTTGCAGGCTTGATGCTCAGTGAAAATTTGAGAAAGGCAGTCAACTGAAGGATGGAGGAAGTTGGTTGCCAGCCACAATATGGTTATAAGCATGCAATAGGAATATTGAGGCAATATGAGTATTGCGAGAGCAAAGAAAGATTATCACCATGTTAATTATATATTAAGAATGATTTCAACTTACCAGGAATGAAACTACACTGGTGGCGATGGAAGCTCTCCAAAGATGATGAGCCTCTACCACACTTGAGCACATCCAGCTCCTTGCCACCCTTCACCACATGGCCAACTTTGGTGTAAATTTCCACCCCTGGAGGATCCTGGATGCAAGCCAGATGCTTCTGCTGCACCTCCCACACTTTGGCCATACACTCCTTGTTGATGAAGGGTACCCCTAGCGTGTCAGTAAGGTGCCACATGGAGTCGAGTAGCCCCTGGATCAGCTGCCTACTCTCCTCCACCCCACGCGTCCTCCTCCTACAGTGCTTGGCCAGCTCACTGCTTGTAATAGCAGCTGAGACCTGTGCCTCTGTCGGCTTGCGACCACCTCTCTTCTTCAGCTCCCTCCTCTTTGCTTCCCTGAGCTTGCCGACATCCCTAGCGTCCCACTCAAAGATGCAGCTGGACAGCTTGGAGAGAAAGGTGCCAAAGAGAGGATGGTGCTCCGTGGTGAGGCCTGCAACGAATCTTCTCATGAAGTGGAAGATGTCCAACCTCACTGCACAGGTCCACGGACGAAACAGTGTAAGGACATGAAGCTTGCCTGTAAAGCAGTGAGAAATAAGTGTACCTTTTATTTGAATTCATATTTAGGTTAAGATTATAAATAAAGATTGTTTGAAGCATGTTATGATGACTGGTAATTTTCTGGTCATGGTGATGATGATTATGATGAAATAATATTAATAATAATTGTAATAATAATAGTAGAAGTATTATCAATATATAAATAATAATAACAATAATAATAATGGTGGCTTCTTATATAGCGCACATGTCCGCCACGTTGTGACGTTGTGACAATACTAATAATTCTAACAAAAACTAATTTATATAGTACCTACTTCAGAGCCTGCTTCTAATAAAGCAGAAACAAACAAATCAATATTTTTTAAAGCTATATGCACTGATATTGTTATTTGGAAAGAAATGTTCATGAATAGAGGTTGTTTATGAAAGAGAGTAAAAAAAAAAAAGAGGTCTAATCCAGTTTGCACATTCCCTGATCACATAATCATTTCAAATGGGGCATCAAGGGGAATAAACAGGTTTTTCAATACCAAATTCATGTAAGAATATTGGGACAAGAAAGATATGAACATGCAAACTTGAATTGCAGTACTATTTTCAGGGGTAGGGAAGTATTTTGAAAACTCTCTGATATCAGTCGTCGACCTGTCGAGACTTAAGATAAAAGTTATTTGAAAGCTCCTACCTTTTCACTCATCTTTGCAAGTGTGTATTAACTATTAAAAAAAAAACTTTCTGCCAAGAACTTCCTGACAAGTAATTTCATATTCTTTTTCTTACCTGATATACTGCAACAGTCTCTGTCCACATAGATAATTTGCGGCTGAGGCACGTTAGCATCCTGGTATCTATGCACAATACCCTGGCACATTTCATCAAGGCCAGAACCCTCGCCAGTTGTCAACACTGAGTTGAGTACCTGCCCCATGTCATTTCCGACATTTGTCATCCAGCTGGCAGTGTGGGCTACATCCCCAGCAAGTTTCTTTGTGATCTGAAATGATTAATTCATGAACCAAATATGAAAATAAGATTTTACTCAATCACTTCGTTTAGAATGTGCATTCATTTCCACCCATTATAGGCCATTTTCAAGCCAAATTCTGGAAAAGAAGTAAATTGGCCCAACTAATTGATTGATAATATGAAATAGTATAATTGTGGATTTTATGGACAATTCTGAACCTGTAAATATTGTATGCAGAAAGTGAGCTCAGAATATCCATACGAAAATGAAACCACTAAGATCACACTATTCCCACATTAGCTTGACATGTTCATTGTAACACTGATAATGTTATCATTAATGTTATTGTGCATACCAATTAAGTTACATGTTTGTATTTCATTTCTTTTTTTTCATTTCATTTTTATTTTTCATTTCCAACAAAATGCAATACAGACACCAGCTCATAAAACTGCTGTTATTGATTAATGTTTTCTGAAAACTGATGGTAGAGTGATTTAGATTATTTCTTGCATTCATCTATATTCTATGCATATGAAATGATTTACCTTTTTGGTGGAATCTATCTTGAGGATTCGGCCATAGGTAGATGTTATAACCCCTCTGTGCTCCTGAAGATGGCCAAGGATGTGATTTGTGTGCACAGTCTGGAACCACTGTGCCAAAGGGACGGGAGTGTATGGTAGTGGTGGCTCGTACTGATGTCCAGTAGCCTGGGTGAGAGTTGCCCCTTTCTTGTGGAGATCACAAGCAGCTAGATAGCTGACAACTCTCCGCCCCCACTCCTCGCTGTGTATTTCCTCCAGGGCCTGCTGGCAGTAGCTGGAGCTGTTACCTTCTGTCCGTGGCTTCAATAGTGTAACGCATTTCCTGTCCAGGGCCAGGTGCGCTGTCAAGATGGCTGGGAACACTTGCCTGTGGCTTGGATCAAGCTGCTTGATGATGTCCTCGTTCCAGGGACACAGAGGCAGCTTGCATCGACTACACCGTGGGTACTCTCCTCCCACCAGGTAGTAACGTGTGTCGATGTCCACCACTTCCCTAATCTTAGGGTAGATCCCCGAGTGGTTCATTTTCACTGCACATGTAGGGCACTTCAGTGGGATGCCCCACATTCTCATAGGAGCCCAAACAAATAATCTTCTCCTAAAGTAGCTCCCTGGGTTAGGAGGGGACACTGTTAGTTTTGGGGGAGCAGGGGGGAAAAACCAATTCTGAGGAAAGGTCTCCCTCAACTGTCCTTGATCATCATATATTATGTGCGCAATCCAGTCCTGGTCGGCCTCCAAAATCTCCCTCCTGAACTGCGCTGGTAGGAAACTTTTCAAGTCAGGTCGTGCCCGAGGTAGTGGCTCTGCAGGACCGACGGTGGGTGGGGCAGATCGAGGGAGCGACTCGTCATCCGGTGCCCGACTGACGGTGTGTGGGGCGGATCGGGGGAGCGACTTCGCACCTGGTGCACGACTGACGCTGAGTGGGGCGGATCGGGGGAGCGACTCGTCATCCGGTGCCCGGCTGACGGTGTGTGGGGCGGATCGGGGGAGCGACTTCGCACCTGGTGCACGACTGACGCTGAGTGGGGCGGATCGGGGGAGCGACTCGTCATCCGGTGCCCGGCTGACGGTGTGTGGGGCGGATCGGGGGAGCGACTTCGCACCTGGTGCACGACTGACGCTGAGTGGGACGGATCGGGGGAGCGACTCGTCGTCCGGTGCCCGACTGACGGTGTGTGGGGCGGATCGGGGGAGCGACTTCGCACCTGATGCCCGACTGACGTTGTGTGGGACGGATCGGGGGAGCGACTCATCATCCAGTGCCCGACTGACGGTGCGTGGGGCGGAACGGGGGAGCGACTCCGCACCTGGTGCCCGACTGACGGTGTGTGATGGCTGCTGAGCTCGTCTGGCTATCCCTGCATGGTGATGGTATAGTTATAGAGAAGAAAAAAAATTAGCATTACATTTGACATTATATCCTTATAATTATATTATCAACAATATTATTATGATTAAAGGTAATACAAAGTTTTGGGAAATTTTGAAAATTGGGTGGATAGTGAATCTTTACAATTTTGATATATTTGGATGCCCCTGTGGATGTATTATAAGCACTAACAAAATTAGCCCCTAAAAACTCTTCTGTTTCGAGAAAAATTGAATATAACAATTTACCAGTGCTCCCGGTAAATTTTGATAAATTTCAAATAGCAATGGTAGCTGTGACCATGAAAATCTCAGAATATGTAGTTGTGATATATAATTTCCAAACAGGTATATTTAGTCAAGAAACATTGTTTCATAACTAAATTAATATCTTGACCTTGAGAGGGAGCTATACAACATAAAGAGTTTATTATTTATAATTTCATAACTTTAGACTCGATTTCAACCGCGACAACGATCAATGAATATTCTAGGAATGCATATATGCTCCCAATATGTTAATTTGAACCAAATTCATGACCCCATACCAAAACTTTGTAATACCTTTAAGAAGGCTTTGCTCCCCCATCCCCTCTAACAAAAAGGTCCCATGGGAAATGTAAATTTAAATTTTGCAAATTATCAGTCATATAGTAGTAATATAAAAAAAGAATCTAGCCTCCATCCTTTTCAACCCATTAAAGACGATTTGATAACATGTATTCCCTATAGATTACAGGTTGATCAATTAATTTCGGGAACACTCTTGAACAGGTTTATAATCATCACATTAAATTAGTCTAAGTTAAAAACGTGTTGATGTTTTGCATTTATAAATCGACTCACTTGTGGGTGGGGCTGCATGTGTTGCTTCGATGTGTTGTGTCAATCCAACTTCTCCTCCCTGGCATTTTCTGCCACACTGAGCACAGGTTGTCTGAGCATGGTAGAGAGAAAGATGGTCGCTGTAATCAGTGACCAGCACCTCTTGTGCACACAAGGAGCATTTGATGTGATCTTCATGTGGAATGGGTTTGCTAGTGGATGGTAGCGATGGTGGCGAGGGTGGCTGGCTGACCGCAGTGTGTGCAGGTGGGGCCTGGGTAAGAGACTTGGGTGCCTGATGGAATGTGTGTGGTGCCCCGCTGGTGACCATGGGTGGTGGTGGCGCCTCTTGACTTTTCTGTGGAGTCTGAGTGTAAATAAATACACTCTTTGTAAACACTTTTTCTATATCTCATGTTAACAATTTGAATTGCTGTTTATATCTTATAACAATAATGTAGATTTTGGAGGTCACATTATATAAGCACAAATGCAGTCAAAGAAGTTGTTAGGAAACAAATGAGCTTCTATATATTTAGTAATACTTGGAAGTGTACGTTTCAGACATGTAACAAAAAAATACCAAATGTGATAGGTAAAATGTCACAATTACTATACTTAACCAAAATGCCTTTTATTGAAGTTTGCATTTTCCATAAATTAGTTATTTTTTAAAAACAAATTACAATGCATAATAGGGCATTTCCATGATAACTTCTGTTATACTTTAATAACAGGTTCTCTGACTTCTTTATTGTGCTATAACTTAATTATTTTATAGGAATGGTAGGCTGATTTCATCTACAAGGATCTAGTAGATGCATGTGCATTAGCTGGACAACACAAAAAAGACAAACAGAGCTAGTCAAAGTTTAGTAACTCATATTTCACAAAAAAAGGACATAAGGCAAAAATGTATTAAACCAATAGATCTGTGAAAATCTCCTTATATAAAGTAATCAAGGTTAAGTATGTTATGTGATATTTTGAAATATATATATATCAAATATCAAAGACAACAAAAATCCAGAAAAGTTAAATAAAATTTGAAATAGAGTCGATTATTTCTTTTTTGTCCACTTTCCTGTGGAATCACCTAAAAACTTTCCATTCTAAGTTATAACAGAAATGAGAATTATGAGATATATAAAATGCCACACCAAACCATCTCAAAATCAACTCGATCAATGATGAAATCAATGACAAACCTCATGGTAACCACATTTGCAGGGAACAGCAGCTCCAAAAACATTGACAGTCTGCTTCTTGTGTAGAGGGCACTCATCAATGCTCTTCCTCACTTTCTTCCACCTCCTACTCCCAGGTGCTTGGCCTGTACCAAAATGATGCTTCCCTTTAGCATATAGTCGCAGGAGATTTTCCCAGTAACTATCTGGTCTCCCAGTCTTCGTCATTGCTGATGAAAAAAAAATAAATTAAAAATACAATAATGATGTAGAATTCTCACTCATGTGACAGCATTCAAGCATTCGAGCCACACTTTACAAAGTAATGCTAGTTTGAGAGAGATGTTAAAGGCATGTCTCTACTTTAAAGCCCCACTGCACTGCTTGCGCCCGCTATATAGCAAACAATGCCTAATCAATGACCATTGCCCCCCCCCCCCCCCAATGGTCCCTTTTTGCTTACAGACTGTATGTTAATTGAGAGCTGATTTTATGAGATAAGCACCTGCCAGTGACCATGCAGGGAGGTCTAACCCCTCCTGGCCAGACTAGTGCAGATGGGCTTTAGGTTCATTGCCTTACAAACAGGCTGCTGCAGTGCGAGTCAAAAAAAGTTTACACCTAAAAAATTGCTAATTAATATAAAAACCATCTATATATTGACAGTAAATCATTATTATGAAAGAGTGTTTTATCCCAATCATTTGTGTCTGATTTGTGTTCACGCTTAGATGAACAGGATAGAATTGTTTAAGGGAGTGCATAAATAGACTTGCGCCAAAGTGCTTATGTGATGTTTGAATATTAAAACAATTGGGATTCAGTTATTAATTCGGTCTTTGCAGATTCAAATAACATCCCTAACTAACTTAAAGGTATTACAAAGTTTTGGTATGGGGTCATGAATTTGGTTCAAATTAACATATTGGAAGCATATGCGTTCATACAATATTCATTGATCGTTGTCCAAGTTGAAATCGAGTCTAAAGTTATGAAATTATAAATAATAAACTCTTTAAGTTGTATAGCTCCCTCTCAAGGTCAAGATATTAATTTAGTTATGAAACAATGTTTCTTGACTAAATATACCTGTTTGGAAATTATATATCACAACTACATATTCTGAGATTTTCATGGTCGCAGCTACCATTGTACGGCCGTAGGCGCTGTTTGAAATTTATCAAAATTTACCGGGAGCACCGGTAAATTTTTATATTCAATTTTTCTCAAAAACAGAAGTGTTTTAGGGGTTAATTTTTTTAGGGCTTATAATACATCCACAGGGGCATCCAAAAATATTAAAATTGTAAAGATTCACTATCCACCTAATTTTCAAAATTTCCCAAAACTTTGTATTACCTTTAATAATGCCACACATATCAAATATAAAATATAAAATAATGGTACACGTGTCTGTGTGTGTGTGTGCACAAATGTTATGAGGAACTGTTATGACTCGCAAAACTTGTATACATACGCACGCTGCACTAATCAATCGTGACCACTAGCTATGAAAGACACCACACCACAATATCATCGTTTAGTTGCTAAAAAGGCTACCGACAAGTACTAGCATAGAAATATAGAAGCTTCTTTAAAAAGCTTATGCAATGCATCTCATTTGATACATTCAATTCATTCTCTCACTTTAATACTTTTGCCCCAGTCTTTTTTGCCGTCTCGATAAGTAGCAATGCATGAAGTCTTTCATCTATGGCTGATCGTCAACAAAACGGAGTTAAGTCTTTTGTCAATTCCGTTTGTTGCTACGTTAAGTTGTTGCCAGTGAAAACGACTTTGTTTATTAAAATTATGGGAATGCAAGCATCCCTTTAAACAAACAGAACTTTGTTATTCCTGGCTCATTTTTCCTGATTGAGGTGTCATATGAAAGGGCAGAAAATGAACTTTCTAGAAATGCCCGCCAAATGACTTTTTGGTTTTCTTCCTTCAAATGGCTTTTAATCACTCATGCATGAAATATGCATCATATGAGTTGCATCAAATGAGAGAGGAGGATCTAAGCTTTACAAATATGTGTCATTTATTATTTATAATTGTTATGATTAAGTTATGATAAAACATCGATAATTCTCGGTTTCATTTTTTCTGGGTCGCACTGTATATACACGTATGCTTCATATTCATGTGCTTAGAATAATATTATTCTATCAAATCACTCTGACAAAGATCCACAATAACAAGCAGTATTCAAACAATAACTTTTAATTAACATATAGCACCCCCCCCCCCCTCTTCTTGTCAGTGTATTCACCAACCAAGGTACTTGGTATAATCATAATGATAAAAAAAAATGTCAAAAACCAGTTGAACCAGACAAATATAACACTGAGCTCCTAGGAAATCTATTCATTCAATTGGTCATATCTCAGCTAATACTTTAACATTTTCAACTGGTTTTCAACATTTGGACATTGTTTTGTATGCTCTTTCGGAAAATGAAGAAAAAAGTGAGAAATTCGAATAGATTGTTATGTCACAGCTTCGGTACTCTATATGCCTACAAGACAGGGTTGTCAGAATGTCAGTCAAGATACAGAAATATATTTACATAAATAATTAAATATAACCTAATTATTCCATAGATTTTAACTTATTACGTAAATGGAGTAAATATGCTAGATAGATAGAGAACAAAAGCTCTAGCTCTTCCCTATTTATAAGAAAAGATCTCATTGCTCTACAGTAACACTTCTCCTGCATAAAAGTATAAGATGTAACTGTTGATCCCTGGTTGACCTAGTCTTATTATATTTTACAAAAGTAGAATGTTAAAGTTGTGAAAAGTTAGTTTTTTCTCTTACCTAAAACAAAGGAGCTAGTTACTAGTACAATGCAAAAAAAACACGTCTGCTCTCCACAAAGGCAAGATGGAAAAGAGGCTGTACCACATGGGCCTATATTTGCCTATAATCACAAATTTCTTATCAGGAATGCTACCAGTGGTCATTCCAAAAGAGAGAGGAGACAAGAAAGTGAGAGAGGGGAATAGGGATTTGTGTGTAATTAGCAGGGGGAATCCTAAGTACATAAAGGAGAGATGAGCAAGATGGGGAGAGAGAGAGAGAGAGAGAGAGAGAGAAGGGGGGGGGGGAGATAAACTGGAAAGTGGAGCTTGAAATAAACACTGGTGGTGTGCTCTTATGTAATACCTGATAGTGAAATTACAGGGGATTACATGCAAACAATTACATGTACTAATGGGCAATAAGTGAGAAATCTGAATAGTTTTTAATTTGAAAATAAAAAGTTAAGTATTTTCATCCAAGTAAAAAACATTAAAGCAAGAGATACCCTTCATAAACCCACAATGTTTCATCCATATTTTTAAATGGAAAAGGCCTGTTAACTCATTTAACATTTAACATTGTAATGATTATGAAGTTATGGTATGTGTAGTATAAAGATCTGAATATGGGGCCAAGTCATAAGTGAATAAATGTTGCTAAATACTTTGTTATTGTGAATGTCAACAGTGAAATCTCTGTTTGTGTGGAGGCTGGATTGTAAATGATGTTGAAGTGCAATGTTGTTTTCTCCTTTTGTTTGGAAAAGGAAATGTCTTTTATTGACTACTTGTGAGATTATCATTGTGTTTGAGTTTCATACAGAATATTGAAAGTTTGTCAGTTTTCCACTGCAATAACAAAAAACATCACTCATCCAAACACATTGCATCTTCTAAAGTCTAAATTAAACAGAAGAAAAAGAATTATTGCAATTAAATTGCATTCATAACTGTAGTGTCTTGATTGACAAGCAACTTTAGAAGCATGCCAGACTAGGTTGACAACCAAATAAACTAAGTTTGCTATTATTGACACACTAAGGATTTAGATTAGGTATACCAGGCCAGGAAGTAAGAGGACCAACTTGTTAGCTAGTAAAAAGTCATATGTCAATCAGTCTATTATTTTGATACTCTTTCAAAACATGTATGATAACCTGTTGCTCATAGCTGACCTTTAAAATAAATGACAATTAATTTCTGAGTTTAGACTTTTTTTTAAACCACACGATATATTATAAAACCTTGAGAGTGACATATATATATATGCTTCCTATTCATGTGCGTAGAATAATAACTAGCAATACAAGCAGTATTCGGGCAATAAGTGAGAAATCTGAATCCTTTTTAAAATTTAAAAATAAAAAGTTAGGTATTTTTCTCCAAGTAAAAACATTAAAGCAAGAGGTACCCTTCATAAACCTGCAATGTTTCATCCATATTCTTAAATAGAAAAGGCCTGTTAAAGGACAAGTCCACTTCAAAAAATAACTTTCTTTCAATAGAAGCAATAAAATTAGAAAAACCAATAAAAAAAAGTTTGAGCAAAATCGGATAACTAATTAGAAAGTTTTGAATTATTGAAAAAGTATGTAAAACTATGGAACAATGAAAAGCACAAGACAAATTGGGATCTCACTCATCAGTCTGTGACGTCATGTCCTCACTATCCACTAATTATTTTCTTTATATTGATAATATAAATTTCCTATTTCCCCCCTAAGAACCTTATTTCTTTGCACCAGCATCCAAGTTAGATTGATAGTATAGTAATATGTTTTTGTGTGGATGCACTAATATAAAGTTGTTTTTTTTCCAGTTAAATCATGAAAAATGTGAATTTTGATAAACTTATTTATATAACAATCAATAATTATGAATATACAATATTCAGAAATAGCATCAATTCTTCAAAGTTCATAAAAGATTTTGTGAAATGTCATGCATGCAAAATATCATACAAACCATATAACCTAGGCAAAGGTATGGGGGAATCAAGTTTTGGGGGATAAATAGGGTTATTAATTGGATTAAACTATATAAAGCATTGATAAATAGTGAGGACATGACGTCACAAACTGATAACCAAATTGGCAATTTGTGTAGTGATTTTCATTGTTCCATAACTTCCATAGTTTAACATACTTTTTCAAAAATTCATAACTTTCTTATTAGTTATCCGATTTTGCTCAAACTTATTTTTGATTGGTTTTTCTGATTGTTCTGCTTCTATTGAAAGTAAGTTATTTTTGGAGTGGACTTGTACTTTAACTCATTTTACATTTGTAATGATTATGAAATCATGGTATGTGTAGTATAAACTATAAACTATAAAGATCTGAATATGGGGCCAAGTCATAAGTGAATAAATGTTGCTAAATACTTTGTTATTGTGAATGTCAACAGTGAAATCTATGTTTGTGTGGAGGCTGGATTGTGAATGATGTTGAAGTGCAATGTTGTTTTCTCCTTTTGTTTGGAAAAGGAAATGTATTCATACAGAGTTAAAAGTTAAAAGTTTTTCAATTTTCCACTTCAATAACAAAAAACATCAATCATTCAAACACATTTCATCTTCTAAAGACTAAATTAAACAGAAGAAAAGAAATCATTGCATTGACATTGCATTCATAACTGTAGTGTCTTGATTGACAAGCAACTAAGCAAGCCATGCTGACTACTGTAGGTTGGCGACCAAATAAACTAAGTTTGCTATTATTGACACACTTATAATTAGGATTTAGATTAGGTATACTGGGCCAGGAAGTAAGAGAACCACCTTGTTAGCTAGTAGGAAGACATATGTCAATCATTCCTTTGTTTCATACTGATAAACTGTAGAAAGTCTAGATGCAGGCCGCATGGTCAGCTGAATGCTCGGCCTCTGTCATTCTTCGGACTTTAGATGAAGAATGCTACAATAACCACCTCAATTTCATTCAAAACAAATTTCATCTTCCAAAGAAAATGAGAATACACCACTGACATCACCACCTCATCACTTAAAACATAATCCATCCTCTATTAGGCTCTATAAATGGAGAATTCACAATAACAATGCAACATTAGTAGGCCTAGCTAATTAATTGGACGTACTGCGCACTGCACATATCCCATCATTTTATGAAAATCATAACAAAGAGGGGCATCAACATAAAGAGGAATAGCCAGGCTTTTCAATGGTACCAAATTCAACTAGGATATTATAGTTACACAAAATATATAAACGCTCAAACTTGAATTGCTGAACTTTTTGACGAGTTTATACCGATTCAATAGGCGGTCAGCGCAGGGCACCTGCCGATAGCAGCTCTCGCTGCGCCCGGGGTGGGGATCGAGGCAGCTCGGCATTGGTACTGGGCGAATCACCTACCGCGCCGTACACCATGTTTACTTCATAAACAGTAACATTATTTTTACAAAATTGAGTCGATAAACTTTAAATATGGACAATTACCTTAATCGTTAGATATCTACGAAGTTCGTGATTGAAGGCGAAGACCAGCGGTCATTGAACATCCAGCTCAGCTCCGATGATCTCAGTGCAAGTACCACGTTCAGTGCAAGTACCATCACAGTCGGGATGCGGGATGCGGGGTGGTCGTAAAAGTTTCTGCGCATGCTCACTTTGTAGGGAAGTTCGGAAAGTGTTAGGAATTGTTCGGAAAGTGTTAGGAAAGTGTTAGGAAAGGTTAGGAATCGTTAGGAATGGTTAGGAATGGTTAGGAATCGTTCGGAATCGTTAGGAAAGGGGATGACCGTCCAATCTCCGCAGTTCACGACCACAACACCTCTACACAACTAACCAACCTCAAATTCTGTAGAACATTGCAGGAATCATGAATATGTCATGTATGTACTACTTGTGAAATTTAAACGTTAGCAACGTTCTAATATTCAAATTGTGCAAGGAAACCCGTTTACTTCCTAAACTTCACTGTCAGATACTATTGAGTGACTGACTGACTTCTTTTTTCTAATAAAATATGTCTACATAAATAACCCACTTGTTGTAATGGCCAAAATCAAACTGATTGAATCTTTGCGCAGCACAAAACATGCGAATATTCAGTAGAATAATCTGAAGATCAGACTATTAACATAAGTGATAGCAATCCCTTATGTCGATTTGACAACAAATCGTTGTTATTTTCCCACAAAAGAATGTCAGCCCTTTCGTTTCGAAGGAAGTTCTAAATCAGTATTATCTTTCAAATGCCATTGGAATGCAACCTTTTAATTTTTTAGGCCTGCAAATGGGACATAGTACCTTTAATAAAGTAGAGAGAGAAGCAATAGAAGCAAAATATGACCTGCAAGATTTTAGATCTTAGAATTAGGATTTTTATTTAAAATCCAACATTAAGTTTTGGATGCACTAAAGATCTTACTAATAGATGAAGAGAATTTGGAAAGAGATTCGATGGATTTTATGGGTGAGAGAGTTGATGAAATAGAGGGAAGGAAAGAAAAGGTCGAAGAAAAGAGGATGAGATATAGAAAGAACAATAAAGAGAATTTGTTTTCATTTGTGTAAACGAGGAATAGTTCAGGTTAAACCAACAATACAAGAAAACTTGTAAAAACATGAAAATCATTCCTCCTTAAAATAGGAACATTCACCTGCTCCAAAAACCACAAGAACATCCGGACAACGAAATACCCATTTCAATAGCCTTTCGAGCCAAATTTCGAGTCTTTCAAACAGGGCAATTACATTTTTACATAATCATGAATTGATTTCTAAATACGAAATCATTGAATTCCCCACTTCATTTTGTTCAATACAATTTTACATGGTAAGAATAACTACAGGCTGTTTTGTTAAATGACTGTCATAATTCAAGGTTAGCGCATTGGCTCAATTGTGACATGTTTTATAAAGGTGTTTTCCTCTTAGTTGATGAGTAAATGCTTGTAGTTACCGTGGTCACTGTGGCCTTGCATATCATCATTATCAGGCTTAAAAACAAATCATCACGTCATTCACGTGTCATTCCTACATATATTTATTATTGCAAAACGGGGAAATATACGCCGCTTCCTTGTAAAAATGAAACATTGTTATAGCCGAAGCTAGATAGTCAGGGAGAGTTCCGAAAAATCCTTCAGTTAATGTAAAATATTCAGACTTTACCGTTAACCTGGGAAACGAATGAGACAATTTTGTTGATGATGTTAAGGATGTTAGAGCATCTGATTTTAAAAGAATTAAAATCCGCCATTAAAGTTGATTAACGAATTTGTACCCATTCTGAAACATAATGATCCGTGTTGCAGCCATTAGGCTGAAGTGTACATTAACAAATTAAAAACCTGTATATAAAACCCATAATATATTATTATAACCTGGCAGAAGTTATCAGCAAATTGGCATGGTAAAGATAATGCTTATGTCGGGATATTTTTCTCCTCCGGTGGTCTCATTTTACATCTTAGAGTAAAAAAAACATTGACAAAAAATCAAAGAAAGTGTCTAATGTGACGATGCATGTTAGAAGCACTGTGAGGAATAGTTAGGCCAGTCAAAGTTACATTTTGTCCCATCCGTTAACGAACATTTCTGAATTATTTGTTTAAACAAATCTATATGCCGTTAAAGAACAAGTCCGTTCCAATAATAACCTACTTTCAATAGAAGCAGAAAAATCAGACAAACCAATCTAAAAAAGTTTGAGCAAAATCAGATAACGTAAAAGAAAGTTATGAATTTTTGAAAAAGTATGTAAAACTATATAACAAAGGAAATCACTACACAAATTGCCAATTTGCTTATCAGTTTGTGACGCCATGTAATCACTATTTATCGATTGCCTTATATAGTTTAATCCCATTCATTTCTATTTTTATCCCCAAAAACTTAATTTCCTCACGCCTTTGCCCAGGTTTTATGATTGGTATCATATAGCGTGCATGACATTGCACAAAATCTTTGATTTAAGAATTATTGATTTTTATCTAAACAGTTTATCAAAAGTCACATTTTTCATGATTTAACTGAAAACAAATTCTCTATATTAGAGCATCCACACAAAAGCATATTACTATCAACCTAACTTGGACGCTGGTGTGAAGAAATAAGAATTTTAGGGGGAAAATAGGAAATTTATGAACTTTTAAAGAGTTACAAAAACGCTTTCAAAAATATTTATTCATCGGCTGGTACGCAAATCCATCTTTGTTTGGTTTTACTGGTCAATGTGACGCAACAATAAGCTTGTTTACATTGTTATGAATTTGGCGCCTCTAGACAAGGCGCGCTTTTTTGGCGCATTTCCGAATGCGCTCTATAGAACCGTACAGTAGAAGGAATATAATAATTGACATACCATACCAAAATTACGCAATTTTTTCATCTACCTTCAACAATGTTACCGAGTCAATAGATTAATGACATAATTCGTATCGAGACACATCAAAAAGGTGTATGCATTAGATTTGGTTACACTATGAAAAAATGGTATTTTATGATAACGCTTTTTGGGGGATAGCACTTGAACAAGATGACCCCAAAATATTAAACAGATCTTTGACACATGGAGACTTACGTCCCACTATGTGCATGTTAGAATAATCATTGCTAAAGTGATAGAGGTTGATATGAGTTGATTTTATTATCCCCTCGCCGACGGAGTCGGAGGGGATATAGAAACGCTGCCGTCCGGTCCTTCTGTGCGTCCGTCCGTCCGTAACAAATTTGGTTTCCGATCGATAACTTCAGTAATGTTTGATGGATTTTAATGAAATTTGATATGAAGGTACATGATATCAAAATAGAGGCTAAGTTCGATTTTGGAGTACGTAGTTCAAAGGTCATAGCTCATTAAATATGCGAACAAATACACATCCGGTTTCCGATCGATAACTTCAGTAATGTTTGACGGATTTTAATGAAATTTGATATGAAGATTCATGGTATCAAAACACAGCCTAAGTTCAATTTCGGAGTATGTAGGTCAAAGTTCATAGCTCATTAAATATCCGAATCTGGTTTCCATTCGATAACTTGAGTAATGTTTGACGAATTTTAATGAAATTTGATATGAAGGTACATGGTATCAAAATACATGTACAGCCTAAGTTCAATTTCTGACTATGTAGGTCAAAGGTGAAAGGGCATAGCTCATTAAATATGTAAAAACACCTAATTATATATGTGAAAATGTGGTTAACTTCCTTGCCTAGTAATATAATAGTATAGTCCAATGGAGGTAACTTGTTCTGATGTATATAGGCCATTTGTACCCTGCGAGGGGATGCTACGCGTTGCGTTGACTTCTTTTGTTTTATTTGCCAAGCTAACCTATCAAAATACAGTGGTTCAAAAAACAGGGGGAAAAACATATCGGATAGGCATAAATAGTATTCAAATTTGACTAAATTGCATTAAAACATAATCTAACAACAACAACAACAATATAAAACACAAAAAATATTCGACAGGATGGCCCTAGAAATTCCCAGAGCGTAGACGTACAATGTATTTACATTTAGGTGCTTCTTGAACACCTTCTTTATTTTCCTTCTTGAAAAATAATACTTTCACCTGTTTATCATAAAATTTACCGCCAGTGCATAAATGAAAATGATTACCTAACTTTCACGAACACGTATCCACCATCGTCGCGATTGGTTTTATTGTTTTATACAAATTATCTTTATTTTTATCTTATTTTACTAGTACTCTACGTCTAATCATCCATAGTCGAATGATTATGCACTACACTATATATATATATATATATATATATATATATATATATATATATATTTACTGTACTGCTAAGCGTAAATATTATAGATCCGGTGTATGATATGAAAATTAACGGTAAAAAGACAAAATCATTGTATTTATTTTATTTACAGCAATGTGCACGTTGATATCGGTTTGTACGGGAACTCTTATACTCAACAAATCACTCGATATAACAAGGGAATATTCAATTTATTCTTAGTTTAGAAAGCTGACATGGCCAATATAACTATGAAGCATTAAGTATTAAAAATAGTAATAATTGATAAAATACAATAATAATGATAATGATAATAATTATTTTAATATTATCAATAATGATAATAATAAATACATAACAAATACATTTTAAACAGTAATACTAAGGTTCTATAGCGTATTTCAGGACAGACAGTTCTTTCAATACGCTTTACAATTTAGAATTTACAATAACTGAAAACAATTATCAAAAATATAGCAAATAAACAGTATTTGGGTCGTTAAATGGGGAGTCGGAATGGGCATCAGCGGAAACTAGCACATACAAGAAAATGAGCATGACTTTGGCCCATATGACAAATTTTCTGAAGAAAATGATATGTGAAACAGAAATGTAATGGAATATACTCTTCCTATATTTTCGTGTATTCAGCAAAGTTTTCAATTTGCTTCAAAATTAATGTGAACCCCAAAGTTTTATTCTTGTTCATACACAACAAGAAGCCCAGATCAGGCAGTAATCGGAAAATATCTTAAGAAAATAAATATTTCTAATTTATCTGGTAGTGAAGCCGAAGAATATGAGGGATTAATTTCAATTCAAGATGCAACAAATGCTCTAAAAGGGACGAGTATTAATAAAGCTCCTGGTATAGATGGCCTAACTGTGGAGCTTGTTAAGGAATCCTGGTTTAAAATACAAGATCTTGTTTTAGACAGTTTTAATGTAAGTTATAAAAAAGGGTAAGCTTAGCTATTTGCAAAGGAAAGGAGTCATTACTCTACTATTAAAAGGTGGTGATGCGATGGAA